AATAATGATTAAAAGACTTTTAAATAACACAAAGTGTGATCAATGAAAAAATCTGTTTTCCTTTTGATATTGTGGTAACAGATTTGACACTTTATAAAATAACTCTTGGTATAAGAACTTTTTAGATTAAAATATTTTTTTAGAGAGAGCACATAGACTTTTCAGTGCTTCAGATCTAATCAGTGAGGGAACGTGACATCATTTCCTGTATATTTGGACAACAAGAAATCATGATTTTCAGCTATTTAAGACACTTTTTGCAAAAAATATAAAATTGTTATGGACTGTAACATCTTGTAATACATAACAATGAGGAACACAGTATTAAAATAATTACAAATATAACCATTTGAAAAAAAATAATGACTTCGGACACCAAATGTACCAGCAATTATAGAATCACTCTTATGCCAAATTCTGACCCTACCATCAGAATGTTGCAGCAGAAATTGAGACACATCAGACTAGGTGACCTTTTTCGAATATTCTATTGTCCAATTTTGGTGTGCCTGTGTGAATTGTAGCCTCAGCTTCCTGTTGTTACCTGAGAGCATTGAGACCCGGTGTGGCCTTCTGCTGCTTCAAGGTCCTCTAGCTGATATTATTGACATATTTGCGTTGATGAGCAATTGAACAGGTGTTCCTAATAAAGTGGCCAGTGAATGTATTATTTACATACAGTCCACAATATAAGTAAAAGTATTGTAATCAGATCCAGATACAAGTGCCGTAGTTTGTGGAGTCAGTATTTTTAAATTACAGTAAATAATGAGTATGCCCTCTATTTGTTTTTGTTTTAAATAATGTATTCAATGTGAAGCCAACTTCTTCTTGTAGGGTCCCTCAAAAATGTGAAAGCTCTCATCGTCGGAGACACTTGTCCTTCAAAAGTTGTCTGGAGCAACATACATTAACTCTTGCAGAGGTGAAAAAGGACACAAATCACTTAAGAGAGGTCAGTAAATAAAGCACCATATTTTGGTTTGTTACATACTGGTCAAAAGTGCGAAATATTAAGATTTTTTATGTTGTTGAAAGATGCTTAACAAGGCTGCATTTATTTGATGAAAAATACCATAAAACAGTACTAATGTGAAATATTATTTCAAGTTAAAATGACTGTTTTATTTTTTTAATATAGTTCAAATGTATTTTTCTCCTGTAATGTCAAAGCTGAATTTTCAGCATCATTACTCCAGTCTTCAGTGTCACATGATCCTTCAGAAATCATTCTAATATGCTGATTTGCTGCTCAAGAAACATTTATTTTTATTATTATCAATGATGAAAACACTTTTTTTTCTGCATGCTTAACATTTTTGTGGAAGCCATGATACACTACAATTCAGAAGTGAATAAGATTGAAATCAAATCAAAAAATAAATAAATAAAAAGGGAAACGAAATTCGGCAAGGATGGATTAAATTGATCAAAAGTGACAGTAAAGACATTTATAATTTTACAAAATATTTCATATAAATGCTTTTCTTTTGAATTATTTTTCTATTTATCAAAGAATCCTGCAAACGTTATCATAATTTCCACAAATATTAAGCAACTGTTTTCAACACTGATAATAATGGGAACCATAATTAATAGTTGAGTACCAATAATAATTGAGCACCAAATCAGCATATAAGAATGCTTTTTGAAGGATCATGTGACACTGAAGACTAGAGTAATGGCTGCTAAAAATTCAACTTTGCATCACAGAAATAAATTACATTTATATATATATATATATATATAAGGAAAAAAATTGAATTGTAATAATATTTCACAATAATACTGTAATCAAATAAATGCAGCCTTGGTGAGCATAAAAGACTTAAAAAACATTAAAAAATTCAATAAGTATTCAAAACCAGTCATTTTTATCTTTTCTTTGAAGGCTAAATAATGTCATTTTTTTTCAGGTTACTGTTACCGGAAAGATTTTAGACATTCAGCCTGAAATCAGCATTCTGCAGAATGAAGAAGGGATACATTATTCTCATTATATTCTGTATGATACCACTGCAAAAGTTCACTTGAGTTTAGCAGAGAAATTTATTGTAACCGTCAATCAGTGGTATATATTTAAAAGTCTTTCTATCTGTGACTTTGGCAAGGGAAATGTGCTTTGTTCAACTGAACTCACAACACTGGAGTCATTTACTCCTTTAGACAATCTACAGGAGTCTGAAGAGACCGTCGTCTCAGGGAAGGTCACTGAGGCATTATTGACCTTTGAATATATTTGTTCATGCGGTGCCACGCTCTCTTTCTCAAATGCCAAGTTGTTCCGTATTAAATGCAACAAGTGCAGAAAAAGCTGCAGGTGTGAAAATGTTCAAAACAGAGCCAAGGCCAATGTAACCATCAAACAGCCCAATGGAACAGACCAGAGAGTGGTGTTAAATGATGCACTGCTGCACTCCATTTTCAACTTTAAGAGAGAGGGATACTGTGACAGTCAGCAGCTAGAGGACCATCTGCTGAGAGCTGAGATAATGACTGTTGTCTGTGTGGATGATGAGCCTCGGCGTGTGCAAATAGAAGCAGTGGAAAAAGCAAAGGATGTGGCAAAAAAATCATTTTTTTCTAGATGCTGTGTCATTTGAAGCCTTTTTCCTTAAAGGGTTAGTTTGTTCCAAACCCATTAGAAATGAGTTTGTCTTTGGAACACAAATGAAGATATTTTAATGATACCTGAGAGATTTCTGTCTATCAATTTAAAGACTATTCACCCACAACTCTGACGCTCTGAATGTTAATAAAAAAGAACAACTAATAAATCCATATGAATTAAGCAGTTTAATCCAAGTCTTCTGAAGAGACATGATCACTTTATATGATGAACAGCTTTAATTTGGGCTTTTATTCACATGATAATTGATCAGCAATCAAACAGAAGGTTATGCCTGCTTGTCGTGCAAGAACAAACCTCACTGGTTCTTACTAAAGCTCAAATGTGCAGGCGTGACACGCAGGAATGAACCTCATTGGTTCTCGTTAAAGGGCAAATTATAATTTTTTCCCTTGATATTGTAATATTGATCATTAATGTAATTGCATTCATTGCATAAAAGGCCACTGAATTCTTACGCTCAACAGAAATGTGTAACATGAAATGTCGTTGTAATGCTCAACGCTACAAAAAGCAATGTGTAAAAAGAAATCTGATGCAGCATGTAATGCTGCAAATTGACACTTCATTAATTTTCACTTTAATTGTGAAAGCCATAATAGATTTAGTATAATTGTGCGTGTGGGATTTTACTCCCTTATGTTGAATTTGTGGCACATTCCTGTTCATTTTGATGGTATTTTTGCCCTAAGCCCTTGTTAATTTCCAACCCTGGATGGTATTTGCTTTTGTCGATCCTATCCATTTGCATTATTCCAATTTACTTTTAGTGCTGTCAGTCGTTTAAAAAAATTAAATGAATCGCTATTTTTTCTGTACTTTATTAGCGATTAATCACATTAATTTGATATATTTATATTGTCATAATTTCACATTGAATCTCTAAATTAATATAGAGAGAACATAAAGATGGTATATTTTGAATATTTGCGTTTAATAGCATATTTTTTACTATTAATGTTCTATTAATGAATGCCAGTATCATCGATACCAATACTGCTACTGATGTGTCGATTAAATGTATTTTTCCTTCAATTTTAGCCATTAATTGAAGCCATTAAACATTACAGTATAATTGAAAGCCATTATTTGTAACATTTCATAGACTTTGAAAAATATAACAACTTTTAATTTAAGTGAACTTAAAACAATCTTCACATAAACTGTAAATTATGTATAAACTATTAATTGAATATAGATTAATCTAGATTCAGTTTATAAACTATAAATTGAATATTGATTAATTGTAGTTCTTTCCCTCACTAAAGCCGTTAAGTACGCAGTATTGTACCTTTTCCTTTTTGTCCAGTTTTTACATTTTAAAATAATGCACTAATGCAAAACGTTTTCACTTGTTCACAAAAACATGTTCAACACAGAAGATATAGAGTATATGCAAGTCATTGTATATATGATTGACTTGAGTATATGCTAGTCAATCAATCTTCCATCCATCGACTTGGCAAAATGCATACATATATTACAACTCTATAAACATTTCTACAGCTGTTTCTCATTCATTAATGTTCAGTACTGGTTATTATTTCCTTCACTTTTTTTCTTTCCCGTTTATGTATGTTGTATATGTTTACTGCATATGCCTGTAGCAATTTAGAAATTTGATTTGACAAACAAGAAACAGAAAAAAAAAAAAAAAATCTGGGCTCTCAACACCCCAGCTATCATATTATCATTGTAATTTCTTTCTTTTATATATTCATAAGTTTAACCTTGATAGCTTTATTACAGACCAAGGCTTCAGTCAGTATGTTGGCATGTTGTCACGGTAACCCTCAGGGTCAAATTGAAACCTTGTTATCATTGGTCATATCAGTGGTGTATGTTGTAATATCCGCACACACAGTGTTGTCCATTTTCTGTTGTTTGTTTTCCTGTAAAATAAATGTTAAATAAAATATATAAAAATGTAAACTTATATTATTTCAGCTATTTTCCAAAGAAACATTTCTCGTTTTCATTTAGTTTAACTTGAAGTAAAATAACTAAAACTGAAATAAAAGTAATAAAAACTAGTAAAATGAAATTACTACAACTTAAAAAAATATGTAAATGAAAAAAAAATACAATTATTAATAAAAACTATAATAGTAAATACATTATACTAAAACAACACTGGTACAGTACACAATCTATTACACATTAATAGTAAGCAATATTGTGGTTAAAGGGCTGACAAACCCAGCATGTTAAAGAGAAATTTAATCTCTGGGTTTTGTTCTGTGGCACTGATGGGATCCTCGTGTGCAGCGACGCATGATGGGTGTCATATTATAGAGTCTAGGTACATCCCGGTTTGTAGCTGCATCTTTCGTGTAACACTTCATCTACCATTAGTGAGAGTAAATGTTAAAAGTCTGTATCTAGACCTAGTTAAGCCGAGGTCATGTGGTTCATACTGGTAATTGGGAAAAAATCCCATGTGACTCCTCACAAATTCTGCTTAATCTAATAATCCATTCCTGACTGATAGGCTCATCTGTCATGCCTGATGTTTTTTTGTTATTGAAAAACTGTTTGCTATTATTTTTCTCTCGTAATTTAATATTAAATTAAATAAAACATTAAATACCACATAAATTCGATAAATAACATAATGAAACATATGATGCTTCAAAACGTTTATTCATCACATGATACAATCTCGTAACAGAATGTTACAAAGACACAAAATAGAGGTATATGTTCAGTGACACAACAAAGAGGACATTTCTTAATAAGCTGTATATTTTGAAAGAGATGACAGTGCAAGTGAGCAGGGCAAAGCAAACACAACCTGATATACAGAAGATGTAGAAAGAGGATAGGCCAAAAAAAGAGGTGCTTCAAAATTACAACAAGATCTCAGCTTTATAATCATTTTCATCTTTGATTGAATAACAAATATTAAATACCACAAAGTTACAAATAAGACTATAGTCTACAGTAGCTGTATGTCAAACTTTGGGAATGCTTCAGTATCTGCATCATTAAGGCCATTGGTTAGGTGTGCTATATTTACAAACACAAATGGAGTATTTACATCTTAACTGGATCTTGTGCCTTCATTTACTAGTCTTCATATCTGCATTACACAACGAAGTCTGGCTGCCAGAAAGACGTGAAGTGGATTATACAGCAAACTGGACTAGCAGACAGGCTTAGATACAAAGTCAAGACAGCTGCTAAACGACTGAGGATACAAACCTCAATTGAAAGGGTTTGAACAAACACCAGTGCACTCAAAGAGAGTACTGACATTGTATCTGAAGCAGTGGATGGGTGTGATGTTGTCTTTTATTCTTATCAGCACATCAGTGAAATGAAGACCAGCCATTAGTCTAGTGCAGTGTGTGAGGGAGTATTTAGCCTTACATTTACTGTATACACAAAACAAAAAAAAGTGTTTTAGAGTGTTAATCATTTGCAGGAATGTAAATACTCAGCTGTCAAACAACACAATTTTGTGTTTAAATAATTTTTGTTAAGTTTTAAACTTTGTCGTCTATGTACAGTTTTACAAGAAAACAACCAACAATAGAATAAATAAATCATATTGATAAACAATAGCAAAGCTTCACATAATCCTCAGTACTTCTTATATTAAAATGACAAGATGAAACAACAATTTTTCATAACAGGATTCATAACAGCAGTGTGATATTTATTGTGCACCATATATATATTTGCACCATATGAAAATGCAGATCTATGTCAGCTGACCACTTCAGATTAGATGCTCATACCAGGTGTAAACATCCTTAGTTCAGCTTGTTAGGTGTAGTAAGTTAGACTGGCTGCAGAGATAATGTCATTTAATGAAAGTCTCATGGGTGCTATCTAGTAGTCATTATGTACAGCAGTATGGTTAAGACTCCACACAGCGTTGGGTTTGGAGTGTGAATGAAAAACAAACAAACATACAAGTCAAAATACATAAACAAAAACACATGCTTCCTTACTTAACTATATTTTAAACCACTAAATAAAGTTGAAACTTTTGGTACATCCAGTGAACCTGTAAAGTGCATTTTGACTGAAATCTCACATGCTGAGTGGATGTGATTGATCAAAAAAAAAAAGTTTTGGGATACACTTTCATTCTTTATATGAGAGATTAGATGTTCTTTGTTGTGAGTATGTTTGTAATAGAGTTAGCATGATAAAGCAGAAACAGCAGGACGTAGAATGACATTCATCATGCTTGTGAATGTGTGTAGTGCTATCCGAGTGACAATAATACTCTCCAGCTGCACTGACTCGCTCTACACAGATAATCTGGGTCAATCTGTGAGGGAGGGAATGCTGTAAATCTAGGGGGTGAGGGAGATTACAGGGGCTTGTGAAGGGGAATATCCTATCTTTGCTTTTGTATGGCATATTTGACAATATCTGCTGTCCAAACAGTATCCACTACGTATAAAACGCACTCTTCTGTTGTCCTTGTACTAAAAAAACGATTTGTTCTGTGCTTTTGTCAATATTCTAGTTGTGTTAAATTGAAGTATAAATTATTATTAGTCATTAACTCACATGTTCCTATCCAAAGCAAATTTAACCTAAATACTAACAGGGACAGTCCACTTGGAGCAACACAAACTGAAGAGCTCAGAAGGGCACAATGGTGATCAGGACGCCAGAAATTCTCAAGACTGTGTATGTGCGTTTGTAAGTGTGCCATTATAATTGTGACTATTCTAACAACATAAAATGAGTTGATCTTTAAGGTCAACATAAATTCTAAAGCCCAATTTCGAATACACCTGGAGCTGGGAAAATGACAAATAAATTTGTGAGTGTTTAAAATAAAGAAAAGGACCCTTTTTAAATGTCTGATTTAAAATCAATTTCATGTTCTTAGAAATGTACTCTTTTTAAATAGTACAGTGTTTTAAAAAAGCCACTTCACTGCCTTTTTTTTCTAAGAAATATTAGAATAAAAGATTTTTTCTTTTTTAATAATTTCATCCCTTTAATGAGGCTTTTTTCCTCATTCTGATATCAGGACAGTTGTATCACAATGATATTTTTTAATTTATGCAACATTTCGGTCAATCAACCTTCCTCAGGCTAGCAGGATTAAAAGTTTTTTCTTTTTTCTTTCTTTTTTTAAATTCAGAAATAAAAAACATGCTCATCATAACAGGTATACTTAAGTCACTATATGTATGAATTGCATGTTCAAATACATTTATAGATCTGGACAAAAACAAAATAAATGTCACTGACCCAGCTGCTAAAATAAACGGCCAGTTTCACAGGTAATTCTGAGTAAATGTTCCAGCTCTGTCACGCTACACTGAGCGAGTATGTGAGAGAATGAGGGCGGTTTAGTATGTGTGAATGTCACATGAGATGTGCAGATCTGAGTGTGGGAATAAGGATTAGTGAACACTGGGGTAAGTGTTTTTAGTGAGGTGTGGCAGTGGACACAAATGAAACATGGTTACTTAGAGGCAGTTCATACTGAGCTTATCGTACAAACACACATGAAAAACGTGAAAAAAATCACCATGAATAGTTAACATTATTAAAGCAGCACTATGTAACTTTTTCTGTGTTCAAAATTTGCTAAATGTATATAATGAGCGAGTACATCATGAATTCATCTTCCAAACCGCGTTTTTGTCTTATTCCGAATCACTACGGTACACTTATAATAAGTACTTATATTTGGACTATTGTAGCCTGGTCGGTTCGTCACCGCTGCGGAGTAACACATATCTGCGTGAATCGCCATAGACATAAACTTAGAGAAGTAGCTCCGGTTGGAATGTTCTTCCGCGGGATGTGTGCAGTTCTGTTTATTAACCGCTAGAGCGACAAAAGTTACATAGTGCTGCTTTAAAACATGATCTTGGTTTGAGTATATACTGAAAAATAAATAAATATACAGTTATACTGTATTATAAAAATAAATATTTATAAGGTGCAGAGACGTAGTGGAAAACAAAACATGTAGAAAGATGGTGGAAACAGAGCCACTGAGGTTAGTGTGCGTTTAAGGAGTGTGTTTGTGACCCAGACTGCAAAAATAATGGGTGTGTAAATATAGTAATGTTTAAGTATATTCACATGATCCACATGGTTCCTGCCTGCTGTTAAATTAAAATGATGGCCATCAAAGTATGTGCGTGCGTGTGTGTGTTTGTGTACGTAAGAAAGAAAATAAATGGCCGTAGTTGATTAATGGTTGCTTAAATACAATACAATGTCTTTAAAGAAATATGTTGGTGTCAGTACAGGTTAAGACCAATTAACAGCATTTGTGGCATAATGTTGATTACCACAAAAATGACTATCCATTTAATTTATTTTCTTTAAAAAATGCCAAAAATCTGGATTACAGTGAGACACTTTCAAAGTAAGTGATTTGGGCCAACTGGTAGATATTAAAATACTCACCGTTTCAACATTATAGTCACAAGATGTAAACAATAAAGCTTTTCTTTGTAAAGGTATATACAATTTTACAACTTTGTTGCAATGACATTGCAATGTTGTAAACCCTTAATGCTTAAAATGACTGTAAAAATGATTTAAACAGCTTTACAGCTCAAATACTACAGTTTTAGCAGAAGAATTGCTTTATAAAATAATAAGGTACACATTTCTGCTCCAAAATTGGTCCCATTTACCTCTATTGCCTATTGTTTTTTTGCCTATTGAAATGGGGGAAGTCCAAATTATTTTTTGTGGTAACCAACATTATTTGACAAAAGCTACTGAACCTGGAATATCCCTTCAAACCATCGTTTTGATGAACAGTTTATCTTGACATGTTGTCAGTAAACTGAAGAGAAGGAAAATCATGAGTAATAGAACAGGCAGGCATGCAGGTGTACTGTAAACACACCTCAGCATGATCAGATCATCTGCTGGCAGGTGGAATGTCGTGGGTTGGTGAGTGTGTGCTGAGAGTGTGTCCTTCAGGCTGGACGTTCTGGACTGTCTCCACCAGGCTGCCGCTGGGAAGGACCACGTAACGCGCTGCCACTTCCTGTCCCTGCTGCTCCCGCAAACCCTCCTTACTGTGCCAGATACCATAGCCGAAATACACCAGAAGACCTGTGACAGAGCAGCGGGACAAATTTGATTATGCAAGTAGGATGGTTTAACTGTTTAAATGGTTTGTAGCAGTGCTGACAGGAACTGAAGATAATCATGTTTGGGCTTATCTTCTTTTCTCACAGATGAGTGCATAGCCAATTAATGTTCAGCAACTACAGACAAAAGCTGGACTCTCTTTAAGAGCTTGAACATGCAGAAGCAGTCACCATTTAGCTATTAACTTTGACCAAAAAACTAGCAAAACAAATCTAAACCTTCAATCTATAGCCATATTTTCAACTTGTTTACCCATTAAAATAAAATGGTGTTTTTATTTATCTGTCAAGGCAACAGTATGTACATTTTATAGTCTGAACCTCAGACTACCCTAAATACAAAATCCTCCTTTTTGACAGTTGGCGGTGGCCAAAATCTTTGGTAGGAAAATAAGGAAGGAAAATAGCAGCTTGAACATTCTGCTTAAGGTATCTTCCAGTGTTTCAGAAAACAAAGAAAGTCAAATGGGTTTGGAACAACATGAGGGTGAGTAAATGATGACAGAAATTTGATTAACTCTCTCTTTATGACAGCTATATTCACAGACAGCTCATTGACTTTAATGAGATGAATTGATATTTATGTAATTCACAATATTGTGGTAGAATAGAGGTGAAGAGCAATGAACTGGTACCTGCTGCAACCCATATGGCGAAACGGATCCAGGTAATTGGACTTAACTTCAACATGAGAAATACATTCAGAAGGATGCTGAAGCCAGGAACAAATGGCACCAGAGGAACCTGAATGATAAAACACATATTACTGATCAACAGTCTAAATCATTACTGTAAATCTTTGTTGTTGTTTTTTCTGAAAAGTTTTGTTTCAATAAACTGGTTAGAGAAAAATATATTCTTTTCCTTCATCACACGTACCTTATGTATGACATATTACTGTTTATTGCAGTTTTTTATTAGGATTTGTACTGAAACTTCATGTTGAAACTCCAGTTCAGTTTGTGGTATGCCCATAAAAATAATAAAATTCATAGAACATAAATATAATTTGCTTCAAATGTTCTTACAATAAGCTCACTAGAGCTATATTCAATGAGTCTGTGAGCTGTTAACCCAGATCACTCCAAGAAAGACAGCAACAAGTCAGTAAACTGTTGATTCAAGAACTGTTCGGACCAACTCAAGTCCTATTCCTAAACAAATTGTTCACAAAATGTTTTTTGAACCGATTCAGCTGATTTATTGATCTGACTCAAAAGAACAAATCGTACATCGCTGACATATTCAATAACAGGCAATGATAATATTTTAAGATGTACACATGCAAAGAATTTAACACTTAACTATGTTTAAGGAAATAAATTAATTCATGCTCACTCACTTTTACACTGTATGATAGCAATGGTTTTGTATAGCCTGTTGTCTATTCAGCCCTATTTTTGTGGTATTTTAACTCACCTGAAAAGTCTTGTGATTGGGCTGCTGTTCATGGACCCAGATGAGAGCCAGACTGAGCAGGAAGACCAGACTGAAGATGACCAGCAGCAGGGTGAAGCTCCACACAGGCAGATTCAGCTGGTTATTCCCGAACACCAGCACAGCACAAAGAGAGAGTCCACTGACCATCAGAGCGAGCACAGAGAACGCCACCACCTCGCCTGGCTCACAGTGCCCCAGTATTCGGCCCAGATACGGCTCCCAGCAAGCCTTCAGTGTGCCTGGAGCCCGTCTCTCCTTCACCGACTTCTGCCGCTCCACCAGCTGAAGTTTATCAGAGAAGGACTCATACTCCTTCAGCTCTCCGCTGTCCTGCGCAAAGGTCTGGGTCTCATTCGTCACCGCAGACGGATCCACCTGCTGTCCTGACTGGTTCATTGAAGGTGTGGATGAAGCGTCTGTCTTGATTCCACCTCCTCCTGAGCTCCCACTGCTTTTATCTGGCTGGAAGCGGAGCACTATGATGCTGGCCGCTACAAAAGTGTAAGCAAGCAGAGTGCCAATAGAGAGGAACTGGACCAGAGCTTCCAGATCAAAGATGAGGGCAAGGATTGCCATAAGGCTGCCAAAAACTAGAATTGCGATCACCGGGACTTTGGTTACAGGGTTTACACGGGAAAAGACAGAGAAGAAGAGGCCATCTTCTGCCATGGCATACACGATCCGTGGGAGAGAGAAGAGGTTGCTGAGCAACACAGTGTTCATGGCTAGATGAAAGATTAGACAGTTTTAATTAGTCAGGAAACAGTATAAACCACAGTGCATCCATAGTCTTCATTATTAAAATCTAACAACAATACAACTTGATCATCACTATCAACATAACAGTTATAGGGACTGCTATGAAGTTCAGTCATGTCTTCCAAAAAAAAAAAAAAAACGTTTAAAAAGTTAAAACATTTTTTATATGGCAATGTGACAATATGAACATGTCAAAGCTGAATTTTCAGCATCTTCAGTCTTCAGTGTCACATGATCCTTCAGAATTTATTCTAATATGCTGATTTGCTGCTCAAGAAACATTTCTTCTAATTATCAATGTTGAAAACAGTTGTGCTGAATCTGATTCATATTTTTAAGGAAACGGTGATACTTTTTTTCAGGATTCTTTGATGAATAGAAAGTTTAAACGAACAGCATTTATTTGAAATAAAAATCTTTTATAACATTATAAATATCTTTACTGCCATTTTTGATTAATATAATGCATTCTTGCTGAATAGAAGTTTTTTTTTTCAAACAAATTTGTCTATGTATGTATATAATTTATCAAAATAATAATCCAAATAATTAACCAATATTAGGTTATTTTGAAATAATGCATTATTATTGCATAAAAATGTTGGATGGAAACACCAAAATGTGAATCAAATTGGCATAAATAATGTACATTTAAAAAAATGCTCATTGGAGGTGATTTTTTTTTTAATATGTAAGATGACAGAGAGGTAAACCACGAAGGAAACATATTTATCAAATAAATTCTTAAAAGCGCATCAAAAAAGGCATGTGACGTTTCCTCAACAAGTGATGTGACTGAATAATTTGCTCATATGACTACATTATTATCTCTTCCTCTACCATTTTTTTAAATGAAATTTAAGTAAATACTGCATAAAAGAAGTGAATTTTGGTAGGCTACATCTTTTGTTGTCATTTAATTGTGTATATTGGTATTAAATCAACCACCCTGCTCTCTAAACGTCTACACTGGCCATTGATAAACCTATATGTCAACCACTAACTCATACTCACCACAGATGGATCCCACAGCCACGATGAACCCGGCCCAGCTATATCCTCGTTTGAAGAATGCATCTGAGAGCGCTGAGTTTGGGTCGAGCGTATGCCATGGAACCATCAAGGTAAGAACTGTGGACACCAGGACATATGCTGTGGCTGCTAGGCCTAGTGAGATTGCAGTCGCTGCAGGAACAGCCCTCTGAGGATTGCTGGCCTCCTCGCTGGAAGCCGCTATCACATCAAAGCCAACGAAGGCATAGAAGCATGTTGCAGTTCCTGCCAGGATACCTGAAAGTCCAAAGGGGGCAAAGCCTCCCTCCTGAGTGCTCCAGTTGGCTGGGTCGGCCAGTACAAAGCCAAACACCAAGATAAAAACAATGACTGCCATACTGATGGCTGAGAAGATGTGGTTTAGCCAAGATGAGACACGAACACCAAATGAAATGAAAAAGGAAGCTACTAGGAGGATGGCAGCTGCTAAGAGGTCTGGGTAATGAGCAATGAAGGGCACATCCCAACGCATCACATGACTCTCGGTGAAGTTCTGAATGCGATGATTGAAAATAGAGTCCAGATATCCACTCCATGCACGAGCTACTGCCGCCCCACCAATCATATACTCTAAAATTACATTCCAGCCAATCAGGAATGCCCAGATTTCCCCAACAGAGACGTAAGTGAACATGTAGGCAGAGCCTGTCTTTGGTACACGGGCACCAAACTCAGCATAACACAGTGCTGCCATGAGAGACGCCACTCCAGCTATGATGAAAGACACCACTACAGCTGGTCCTGCAGTGTCTTTAGCAACAGTTCCCGTGAGAACATACAGGCCTGAACCCACCATGCCACCAACACCAAGCAGTGCGAGGTCCACTGTGGACAGACAACGTTTTAGTGACGTTGCCATTACGTCCTCCTCCAGCGTCTTCAGCCTGTTCAGCTTCTGACAGAACCTCACCACTGGAGAGCAGCCGGAAACACATGATGCCATCTTGATAGAGAACGGAGGGTTGGTGAAAGAGATTGTGTGAAATATACAAAGATCACACCTGGTCCATAATTTTCTGAGTCAAACAAGCTCTACAAACCTAAAAAGAATAGAAACAGAATAGAAAAGCAAATCTATAACACACTGAACACCAAAGTCAAAAATTAACTAGTTATTTTAAGCGAAAGATTCCAGCACAAGTGACAAAAATGTACCAGATAATTAAAACGTGTGGGCAAAACATCTAATATTTGATATATTTCATAATATCCTTTTCTAGGCCTGTCTAGTATGGGTTTAGGTGCCTTTGCAGTGACATATAGCAGACGTGTACTCACTGTCTTGGAGGCAAATGCTATGGAAAGTGTACCTAATGTTATTATTTTGATTATATTTTATACGTTACATTATATATTTATTTAATTTAGTCTGTTAAATCCCTCTATGTTGACCTGGCATATTACCTCTTTAAAATGCAGCATGAATGTCCATTACTGTTTAATGCTTAATGTGATATATATATTTGATAAAGTAAATCATAATGTTAGCTATGTGGAGATGTGGCCTGGTTACAGTGGATCAGTCCACACACACGGATGATGCTGCAGATGGTGATTCCGCTCACATCACATCCGCTGCTGGAGTCCCGAGGGAATTATATGTCAAAATCTCCATTGCATAGTCAATCTATACATCACTTTAATACCTAAGATTGATACAAAAGCCAAGCTAAATGTTGATGGACTACCTTTCGCCATGAAACGCAGCATGAATAATTTGAGTTTGAGTAATTTGAATTTATTTGAGATTAGTGATATTTCAAAGAGCTGGAATAAGCTCACATATAAGAGCCATCGATCTTTTCTTGTTGCTTTTATCGTTTAATTGAACAAAACTGTGACAGTTGCTGTTTCATCCTCCTTAACGCTAAAGCCACTAACTAACGTCACAGAGACAGGTGAGAAACTGCCCCGCTCTCTGCATTGTACTGGCCACAAACCTAAGCATTCAAATCATATACATACACATCCGTAAAATAAAGAATAGTACGACTTTGTACCTGTAGTTGGTTCGTGTCTCGTTTGGTGAAAGCGATGCTGTAAAGCGTCATTGAACAGAAGGGAGGGTGGAGGAGCGAACAGGAGCTGTTTCCGCTCTTAAAGGTACAGCACCTCATTCATCAATGTAGGGCTGTTCCCACCCTAACCCTATATTAGAAATGGTCAAATTATTATTATTGAATTATGTGTGATGCTTACTCTTAGGCATGCTAATCACTTCCATACTAGACCTAGTTTATACAAAAAAAAAAAAAAAGTGAGACCCTTTACTCTTCCATGTGAAAACTGGAAACTTAACCTCTGACCCACTTTCTGTAGGCTCTGAATTTTTGCGTTTTGAATTTTAGAATATTGAATTTGGTGTTCCAAATTTGTTCTTCATCTTGAAACTTGAAGATGTATTTTTTTTTTTAAATTTTTTTAGTTTATTGTCTAAGAATTTAGAATATAATAAATCCAAGGAGAGGGAAACGTTTTTGCTTGAAATCGGTAGTCTTCATAGAAACTCATTTGACATCCTAAAGAGAAAGAGGGAAGAAAGCAGGTCAGGAAAGACACAAGTGTTCAAAAATACTATTGCTTTCTTTTATTCATCTCAACAATAGGAACTTCACTGGATGAAGACTGCTCAGACAGAATAAAAAAATAATAATTAATAGTTTTCCCTGGAGGTCTCCCATCCAGGTACTGACCAGGCTCAGCCCTGCTTAGCTTCAGTGGGTAACCAGTCTTGGACTGCAGGGTGATATGGCTGCCGGCAAACACACAGACACACATGCAAGCACCACAAAGTCAAATTATCCATATAATGATTGCATAAACATTCAAACTCCACACCACAAGTAATGCTATAGTTAAATGAACAGGCAACTAGTAACTGAAGTGCTTAGATACATATAGTGGAGTAAAAATGTTTGTACATTTTATCACTTGAAACAGACCATTTCACAAGAGGCAACTGGGTTTTGAGTCGAGTTGCGCCTGTTGCTGCTGGAGAGAATTGGGAGTAATAACAAAAGAAGAAACTGTGGTAAATGGACAGTTCACCCATAATTGAAAATTCTGTCATCATTTACTCACCCCCATGTTTTTCCAAATCTGTATGAATTTCTTTCTTCTGCTGAACACAAAAGATGATATTTTGAAGAATGTGGGGAACCGAACAGTTGCTGGTACCGATTAACTTCCATGGTGTGTTTTCCCAAATTAATAATTTCAGTCAAATATGGGACACTTTCATGCAGTTCCTGGACAGTGATCAAGCATAAATGAGTGAAATAGATAAATGATACGACAGTAGCAATAAAAACACTATTCCTCTGTTATACTATATCGTTATTATTATATTTTAAAAGAAAATGTACTCACTCTCAGGCAGTGTTGGGGAGCAACTAGATACATGTAACGGAATTACGAAATTTAATTAGAAAATAAATGTAACTGTAATCCGTTACAGTTACTGAGAAAAAAATGTGTCATTAAAGTAGTTACTTATCAAAATGTTAACGATTAAAAAGGGGGTTACACCTGAATATTTCCTGTAAAAAGCTATAAATATTAATTTGTTGCTTTGCCTGTTTCTGATGTGCACAATGCCATTTAAAGGTTGTTAATGCAATGCTATTCTGATGCTTTTGATTGCTCTTCACTGAAAAAAAAAATGTTTTATTCATCCAATTAAAAAAATTTAGGGTAATGATTCACATCTATATTTTTTAACTTGAGCCAATGAAAAATAAATAACTTGCCCTTAGGGCCCTTGGATGAATGAAACATTTTTTTCAGTGTTGTTTGAATTTGAAGCGCAGCATGTCTGGCAATTACATCAATCCACATCCACAATCCACACATCAATCCACATTGCTGCTGATAAATCAGAAAAGGGCGCAAATATAACAGTTCAGTGCAAAATTTGTTTGTTAACTATTAAAACGCTATCGAAAACAAAGGTTTCAATGTCGAACCCAAGGAAGCATCTGCAGGTATATAACTTACAGTTAAGCAGTCATTAAATAAAGTAGGAAAGGCATTGCTACTCCTCCCGCATGTCACTAGAGTGTATTCAAGACATAATTACCTCTGTATTGCTTGGTGTATGTCCAGTAGTTTATTTAACAATGTTAATCTTCATTCATAACAAATTAGCTAGTCTGCTAGCTAGCTAAAATGTCTTTACCAGCCACACTTCTATTTAAGAACCCTTTGACAGAAAATATATAGCTAACATTTTTCCTCCTTGAATAAGGTTAGTAACCATGTCAGATCCAGTGTTGGGAAGGTTACTTTGGAAATGTAATTGGTTACAGATTACATAATTTAAAATGTAATAAGTGGTGTAACTATTTTAATTACTTTATTAAAGCAATGTAACTTATTACACTTGATTAGTTTTTGATTACTTTTCTAAATGTCTAACAAATGTTTTTTTATCTGTTATCATTTTCAAACATTTAAAAGAAGGCAGGGTTATCCTTGCAGTACTCAACACTGATACTGTCAGACTTTCAAAATCCTTCATGATCTTAAATTAAGATTATAGTAATTTTATTTTAAAGCACAGCCACCACAAAATCAGAGTTTAGCAACTCTTTATACTTTGAGATCGTTCTGAGGGTGCCTTTCCTTCCTTATTTAATGACTGCTTACAGTTAACTAAGTTACATACCTGCAGATGCTTCCTCAGGTTGGACATTAAAATGTCGATATAGCATTTTATTAGCTGCCTGGCAAAACATATTTTGCATTGAACTGTTATATTTGTGCCCTTTTCTGATTTCTGGAGGATTTTTGTTCCCCCTAGCACTGGAAGGCATTTTTATCATTCGCCATGAATAGCATCGCTTTACTAAACAGCCTATAAATGGCAGGAGGCATCGTGCACATCACAAACAGGCAAAGCAGCAAATTTATATTATTCAACATATCCTAGCTTTTTCAAAAAATATTCAGATGTAACACCCTTTGTAATTGTTGTCCTAAGTAACTGTAATTTATTTGCATATTTTTTCTCAGTAACTGTAATAGATTAGTTACATTTATTTTGTAATTAAATTATATAATTCTGTTACATGTAACTAGTTACTCCCCATCACTGGTCAGATCTAATATTACAGTTATTTTAGCATTGCACCATAACCTACATTAATAACTCACGAGGTCATTGAAATTCATGGCTCCAACATACTCCCCTGGCCAAAGCAACTTTGAGTACTACTGTAAGCAGGGGGAGAAGCAGTGTTGCCAAACCCCTCCCTCAGAAAATCTCTAGAACCCCCCTCAAAAGTCTCCATTTTTCACAAAAAGTCGCCAAATATGAAAACAAAGTAAATACAAGTAAATTTGGTAAAGGTAAAGGAAAGTAAATAAATATATATACAGTGGGTACGGAAAGTATTCAGACCCCC